TAATGGGATGGGGGCACCTGTGGGGTCACTGATGGGATGGGGGGAACCTGTGGGGTCACTGGGGCACCTGTGGGGTCAGTGATGGGATGGGGGCACGTATGGGGTCACTGGGGCACCTGTGGGGTCAGTGATGGGATGGGGGTACCTGAGGGGTCACTGTGCCACCTGGGAGGGGGTGACACAGTGTTTGTGTCCCAAATATGACGGGGGGGACGCAGGTGAAGGGCTGAGGGGTTGCTGTGACACCGATGTGGGGACCGACCCAGTGTCTGTGTCCCAATCCCAGCCCCATTCCCAGCCAATTCCATGGAATCCCTGGGAACAGGGCAGTCCCATTCCCATTCCCAGCCAATTCCATGGAATCCCCGGGTACAGGGCAGTCCCATTCCCAGCCAATTCCATGGAATCCCTGGGAACAGGGCAGTCCCATTCCCAGCCAATTCCCTGGAATCCCTGGGAACAGGGCAGTCCCATTCCCAGCCAATTCCATGGAATCCCCAGGTACAGGGCAGTCCCATTCCCATTCCCAGCCAATTCCCTGGAATCCCTGGGAACAGGGCAGTCCCATTTCCATTCCCAGCCAATTCCATGGAATCCCTGGGAACAGGGCAGTCCCATTTCCATTCCCAGCCAATTCCATGGAATCCCTGGGAACAGGGCAGTCCCATTTCCATTCCCAGCCAATTCCATGGAATCCCTGGGAACAGGGCAGTCCCATTCCCATTCCCAGCCAATTCCATGGAATCCCTGGGAACAGGGCAGTCCCATTTCCATTCCCAGCCAATTCCATGGAATCCCTGGGAACTCACCTGTGTCGTTCTCCAGCTCGAAGCGCAGGTTCTCTGTGGGAGGAGAGGGAAGGGATTGAGTCCCTTTGGAGTCCCTGGATCCCCTCCCATCCCACGGGAATGATCCCTATCCCTCACTCCCACGCTCCAGTCCCAGGGAAGCCCCTCCTGCCCCCCCCTCCTCTCTGGGATGAGCTCCCCAAAACCAGCCCAGGGGATGAAGGACGATCCCAGTCCCACCCCAGCCCCGGCCCTGCCGGAATTCCGGGCGGGATTTCCCCGGGAAGGGCCTTTCCCAGCTCACCCTTGAACTCCAGCAGCACCTCCTTCAGCACTGCGCTCTTCTGGGAGAAGCTCTTGAGCTTCTTCTCCAGCTCGGAGAAGCCGGGCTCGGGCTTCAGGAACATCCAGCTCTCCAGGCTGCGGGGACACGGCACGCTCAGGGCCCGCCCATTCCCAAAATCCCGGGAATTCCCCCCCGGGAAAGGGCTGGGGGCACCGGCCCTGCCACGGCTGGAGCCTCCCAGTTCACCCAGTGAAGGGCTCAGCCCCACTCACCTGCTGCCAGCTGGGACAACACCCTGGAAAAGGGGGAAAAAAACCAGGAATTCCGTCAGGATCGGCCTCTCTCCAACCTCAGAGATCCCAAATCCCTCCCCAAAACCAGGCAGAATCCCTGAGGAAATTCTGTCCCCAGCAGTGGGGTGAGTTTTGTGCCCCCCCCGTCTATATGGGAATTTTTTGCCCCCTATTTTTTTGGGAACCTTTCTGACCTCATAAACAGGATTTTCTTTTTTTCCTTTTTTTTTTTAAACCCTTACAAACGGCAATTCCGTCCCCACGAATTTTTTTTTCTTTCCCCCTCCCTCCCACAAACGGAACTTTCTCGATCCCCATTCACAGGATTTTCTGTCCCCCACAAATGTGGGGGTTTTTTTGGGTTTGTTTTTTTTTTTTTTAACTTTCCCCCAATAAACAAGATTCCCCCTCCATAAATGGGAAGTTTTTTTAAGGATGGGGGCTCTCACCTCCCCAGGGGCGCTCCCTGGGCCGCCGTCCCCTCCCTGCTCTGCCAGCAGCTTGTCGAGCTGGGCGATGTCCTCGGCCAGCCTGGCCACGCTCTCGTCGCGCCGGCGCCCGATGTCCCTGTCCAGCTCCTCCAGGCGGGACAGCAGCAGCTGCTCCTTCTCCTCCAGGAACGCCCGCAGCTCCTTGCACTCGGCCACGATCTTCTGCCGCTCCACCTCCGTCTGCTTCTGCGCTTCCGCCGGGAGCACGCGTCAGACGGGATGCTCCGGCCGGGATACGGCGGGGATCGGACCCCCAGGGGCTCAGGGAACCCCCCAGACACTCAATTCCCGTGGGCAGGGGGCTCAGGGAACCCCCCAGACACTCAATTCCTGTGGGCAGGGGGCTCAGGGAACCCCACAGACACTCAATTCCCGTGGGCA